TCGTGGGACAAGACTTTGAGGTGTAACATCATTTTAATGCCTATTTTACTGTAAAAAAATTTTCTTTTTCAGTGTTATTTCAAATGCCTACAGAGGCTTTTTGGACTTCTCAAGTAACTGATAATGGAAGAATGAAAAAAGTTTTTTTTTTTCTGAAAAATAAAATAGCAGTGTTCTCAACACTGAGCGACGTAATTTCTTTTAGGTTTTGGGATATGAGGCAGTTACCAACCCAAACTTCGCTTGCTACGATCCAACTGCCGGAACGTGTATATTGTGGTGATATGCTTTACCCCATGGCTGTAATTGGTCTTGCAAATCGGCGGATGAAAGTTTGTTTTTAAGGTTGGATTTTTAGGTGGAAATAAAATTAATTTTTATCTTACTATTTATTTAGGTATACAAATTGGATAGCGAGCCGAGGGAAGTTAAAGATACTGAAACCACTTTGAAATTTCAGGTCTTTTACATTTTGCCATCATGAATTTTTCTGTTTCTTTGCTATTATGCTTTTTTAACTAAATGTCGTTGCAGCTTTTTATCTTACTCATGGTAATTGCTAGGTTGCTTTGTCTTTTTTAGCTGTATAATGATTGTGAAACTGTTGTCTAGTTTTGTAGAGGAATTAATGAGCAAATTTTAGAGCCGGTGTGTTGCAATTTTCAAAGATAAAAATAATGTGCATCCTGCGGGTTTTGGCCTTGGTTCTATAGAAGGTTTGCATTATAGTTCTTTAAATTCTTTAGAATTTGTCTAAATACTCCCCTTACCTGTTTACAGAGAAGCTTGTTCATTTATCTTGGCTTTTTTTACTAACAGATTTTGTTAAATTTTAAGTTTTGCGTTTGTGATGCGGCTATAGCACCTGCTTTTTCTTTTACATTCGCTCACCCACCAAAGCTTCAATTTCTTCAGGGCGTGTGGCCATTCAGTATGTTGAAGCGACTAATCCTAAAGATAATTTCACTTTTAAATGCCATCGTTCACCTGAGTTGATTAATGGTTTTCAAGAAATTTATGCGGTTTGTTGCAGCATTCGTTTGTTTTTCACATCATTTCCAGTGGGAAGCACCTTTTAAGCTTTTGTTAAACGACGAAGATGCAAAAAGTGGCTGCTAAGCATTTCGAAATTAACTAAGAATTATTGTTCTTAGAGTATTTGCAACATAAGAAAATCGAATTTGTTAATTATGAAATCTGTCATAACTTTTAGCTTTTGAGGTTTTGTCATGTATTCTTTTTACATCTTTTTTTGTGTGCTACTGTACATTCACTATTTAACAAGTTTTAGAAAATTCTGGAAGAAACAAATTTGGAATTTCATTTGGGTTAAATAAAATATTCCTTGCAGGAAATGATGTTCTTTTTCCTCTTTCTATTCTATAATTTTTTAAGGTTAATGATATATGTTTTCATCCCAAATATGGCACTTTGGCGACAGCTGGGTCCGACGGTAGGATATCCTTCTGGGACAAGGATTCTCGTACAAAATTAAAAACTTCAGATGCAATGCCGCATCCTATAACTTGTATTTCTTTGCATGGTTCTGGACAAATTTTGGCATATGCTGTCGGATACGATTGGAGCAAGGTGGCTGTTGTTTGGTGTCTTTTTTTTGTTTCTGAGTTTACTTTGAGAATGGTTGTCAAACCATTTTTCAAAATTAGAAGCTGTTTTGGCAAATTATATGTTTAGAAAAATGGCTGTTGAACTCTTCTTCTAGGTATATTATATTGCTGTAATGCATGAATTTTTGCCAAGTTCGTTGTCTAACTAGGTATGATCCTCATAATATTTATTTTATCTATTGACCTCCAATTTCTTTAGGGTCACGAAGGCAATAATCCCAGTCAAGGAGCAAAGATATTCTTATATCCTTGTGATCAAGAACTGAAACCAAAACCTAAGAAATAGTAGAGTTGTACCTAATTTAAGGAGTGTTCACATTTCCAGTTTGTAGCGAATTTGGTCTGTAAATACTCTCGATTTGATACTGTGCTGTAAAAGCTTGTTATGTGCTCAGAATATCTGAGGCTCAAACGTGGTTTTTTGATATAGAATATAAGCTACTATGGTTTTTTTCTTCATCATTAACATTCCATTTTTAGCCTCAGACTGCGCTTATTTTAAATGTTACTTTAACACTCAAATAATGAACTTTTGATCTCATTTTCAGTAATTTGTATTTTTCTTGCTTGGCTAAGAAACTTTTAAGTTGGGTAGACAGAAGAGTGTGAAGTTTATTTGTGAATCTGAATGAAATTTAGGGCTTTCAGGGAATCTGAAGTGTGCGGTTTTTTTTAACGTTTTAACGTAGTTTTTGTGGTCGTTAACATTAATGAGGTAGGGAGTTACTGCTTCGAAGTTGAGTCAATCTGAATCTTCACTTTAGGGTTCTAGCTAATTAAGACAAGTTTTTTGGTGTCATTTGCTTTCTACTTGCACTGCTGTAATATACGGTCAAATAAATGTTCGTCGTAACCATTCGGAGTTGTCGTTTTTTTTTCCATTGTCTAGGTCTCTCCAGTCTGTCGTCTTCTTTTTATTGCTCGCAACTGGATCATCAGTAAAAGTTGATCCGGCTTTTTTTCGCTCTCTAAACAGTTTTTTCATGAAGGTTTTTTCATTATTTATTGTCAAAAATATTTGATATTAGTTGTGAGGTTGACGTGCTTTTAAGCTTCTTTCTCTATGTATTAACCACTGCATTGTATTCAGGTAGTAAAAGAGGCGGCGATGAATTCTGAGCAATGTCAATTGTCTTCTATTATTAGCAAAATTTATTATTCTTTCTTCTGGCAATGCATTTTTTATTTTTAGTGTTACAAGAAGACTTAATCGGCTACTCTTCTGCTAAGGTTATCATTTATGCTTGCTGGCAACTTCTCTTTTTTTACCTGTTCAACATGCTATTATGGTTTCGTTTTTATTGAAGTTGAGGCTTGCATGAGAGCTGAAACATGTATGGTAAACTGTTTTTCAAAAGTTATTTTGCTCAATGTTTTTTTTTTTTTTTTTTTTTTTTTTTTTT